AAAGAAAGCTTGCCAATTTCAACAGATTGAGTATTTGAAACCAAGTAGAAAACGTGTATTTTTATATATCTAAAAGTTTTAAGTTAGTGTTAGTGTTAAAAAGATAATCATGGGCCTAAATGTCCATCAACTGATGAATGGATAAAGAAATTGTGGTTTATATACACTATGGAATACTACGTGGCAATGAGAAAAAATGAAATATGGCCTTTTGTAGCAACGTGGATGGAACTGGAGAGTGTGATGCTAAGTGAAATAAGCCATACAGAGAAAGACAGATACCATATGGTTTCACTCTTATGTGGATCCTGAGAAACTTGACAGGAACCCATGGGGGAGGGGAAGGAAAAAAAAAAAAAAAAGAGGTTAGAGTGGGAGAGAGCCAAAGCATAAGAGACTGTTGAGAACTGAGAGCAAACTGAGGGTTGATGGGGGGTGGGAGGGAGGAGAGGGTGGGTGATGGGTATTGAGGAGGGCACCTTTTGGGATGAGCACTGGGTGTTGTATGGAAACCAATTTGACAATAAATTTCATATATAAATAAAAAAAAATAAAAAAAATGAATAAACATTAAAAAAAATAAGAACAATAAAAAAAAAAAAAAAAGATAATCATGGGGCGCCTGGGTGGCGCAGTCGGTTAAGCGTCCGACTTCAGCCAGGTCACGATCTCGCGGTCCGTGAGTTCGAGCCCCACGTCGGGCTCTGGGCTGGTGGCTCGGAGCCTGGAGCCTGTTTCCGATTCTGTGTCTCCCTCTCTCTCTGCCCCTCCCCCGTTCATGCTCTGTCTCTCTCTGTCCCAAAAATAAATAAAAACGTTGAAAAAAAAATTAAAAAAAAAAAAGATAATCAAAATTTCTGGCTTATAAAATCTATAGCCTCCTTGGAAATGGATATTATTTATAAATTTGGCATGCTTCTATATTTTAATATGCAATAATGTAAAATAATATATGACCAAAAATCAAAATACTGGCTTTAACAAATCTTTGCAAACATCACTACCCTTTATTTAATGATGAGAAAATTCTTAATTTCCTAAATTAAATAATACTTAAAAAAAAAAAACAAACAAACCCAAAGCTATGGGAAGTAAAAACTTTTACATCTTTTTTTTTTTTTTTTTAATCTAAAAATCTCTTTGCGGTCAGATAGCCTAGAGAAAATGTTTCACTACCATATGCCTTTTGATAACTAGAAGTACTGTGCCCAGCCAGTCAGCCTGGAGTATTAGCACTACAGTTGTGCAGTCATAGTTTTTAGTATGTTATTTTCTTTTCAGGGGAAAAATTGGAAAGTGGTACTTAGACTAAAATATAATCCTATCAATTTTACATAAAATATTGATAAGAAATAAAAATTTAGCATCTCTGGTGTGAATTCACTAGACTGCACAAAATACAAATATATAGATTAAGGAAAGTTAACATAATCCTTTTATGGGAACTAAAATCAATTACATGTCAGCTTTGTAGTATTATAAATGTATTTAGTCAGCATAGAATTTTTCCAGCAGTGTTTCCTGCAGATTGAAATTGACTAACCAGATGTTAAATATTAAATAGAACTAATCAAAGCATGGTTCAAGAGACTTTAAAAACAATGATCAAAGGGAGCTATTTATTACCTGATTCATGTTACTGTTGAAATATTGGGTCTGTGATATTATATTTAAACTTAGTGTTTTCAAGATCCCATTTTCTAGCTTTACATGAACAATAATTAATGTTAATAAATTAACTCATAAACTGTATAATTGGATCATTGTGCATAATCATGGTTGGAAAGTTGACCAAGAGATTTAAAACTCAATTCATAGAAATAAACCTTTAGTAAGATACTTAGTACATATATAACTTTTCAGAACAATATAAATATTGAAAAATACTAGGATTCATTCAGTCCATGTACACATACGCACATATGCACACACAAATAAAAACAAAAAAGAAGATAATAGATTCATTTCTGAGAAATCTTAGAACAATCATTTGGCCAGACCTTTTACTTTCAGAAGAATAAGTATTTAATGAAAAAAAAATTGGGAGTAAGTTTCCAGAAAAAGGCATTTCATAACCTCTTACAAGCTCATCCCATTATTTTTACATGGTGTTAACATGTTTTTGCTTCTATTCAATAAGAACTTTTCATAAGATTTTACTTGAGCCCATTTTTTCTTGATATATATTTGGGAAGACACAGCTGATAGATGTCTCAGTACTTGATATTATTAATTTTTCCATTATCACTATGTTTTATACATTTATATAGTTTAAGAAAACATCTCTCAAAGTTTAAAGGTTCCAATAAACAAATTCACAACTATTCACATGCCAATAAAATACTTTTTACCAATATACAAAGATTTTTTGTTGTTGTTACTTTATGTTGGAGGAAAAGGGAGATGAGTTCAAACTAGTAAAACCGTTCAAAATGTTCTGCCTTATTCTTAAATCTCCATGCTTTTACTAATTTGTTTTTGAACCAATTTTCAATTGATTTCTGGTTATTTTAATTAATTATATTCTATTATAATAAGTTTTTAAATGTTTATTTATTTTGAGAGAGAAAGCACGCAAGTGGTGGAGGGGCAGAGACAGAGGGAGAGAGAGAATCCCAAGCAGGCTCCTCTCTGTGCTGTTAGTACAGAGCCCCACACATGAAATCATGACCTGAGCTGAAATCAAGAGTCAGACACTTAATAGACTGAACCACCCAGGCACCCCTATTAGCAATAACTTTAAGCTATCATTTTAACAAATTTTTCAAGAAACAATCTGTTTTGATATAGGTGGTGTTGATTATGCTATAGAAATGAAGATTTACTGGGTGACATGCTGAGTTCTGTGCCTTGAACGTGTGAAGTTTTGTTATAGTCTTCAAATCAGGAAAAAATTATTAATTGGAGAAAGGAGTGTATATTCAAATACCCCAGCAATATACCATACATATCTACCTTTAAATTTCATTCATACATTCCTAGATGGCTTTTTTTTTGAGAGAGAGAGAGAAGGGAGAGAGAATGAGAGAGAGACAGGGAGGGGAAGAGGGAGAGGGAGAAAGAGAATCCCAAGCAGTCTCCACATCCAGCACAGAACCCCACGTGGAGCTTGATCTCACAACTGTGAGATCATGACCTGAGCTGAAATTAAGAGTCAGACACTTAACCAACTGAGCCATCCAGGCAACCCCGCATGGCTTTCTTTAGCTGATTCAGGACCTACCTTCTCCAAAAATTCTCCTCCCAGACTGGTCATATCCCACTCTTTCAGCTCCCTTAAATTTTTCCTGGCAATAATTTGAGAGATTATGATTATATGTCATTTTTTTGTTCTCTGGGTGTTTCATTCATGTACGCTTCCAGTCAGTATAAACATTGCTGAACAAAAAAATTTCAAATACCTTGACATCATGATGGGATATTCCTTTGTACACACGTTGCCTGCACAGGTCATTATGGGACCCTGTGTGCTCTATTTCATACTATTTGGTGTCTTAGTCTCCAATTACTTGCAGTTATCGACTGGGTTATGCCTTCTTGGGCCACCTTGCCTTTATTCATACTGTTCTTCTCTTAGAACACTCTTTTCTTGCTTCACCTGTTTGACACACTCTGAACCTTAGAAGATACCAGCTACCCTTGGAAGTTGCCTTTGGTCTGGATGGGATCTGTTTCCTGGGTGCTCTCAGGTCACTTCTCATGTCACACTGCTCAAACTGCTATATTTTTTTGTACCGGCAGTCTAGGGCTTCTGTGAAAATAAGAAGTCAGCACATTTTGGGCTACCTTTGGAAGACCCTTAGCCTCTTTTGTGTGTCAGTTTTGTCATCTATAAAATAGGGATGATACTAGATCAAATGAGATAATAGTTTGCTTGACTCAGTGTCTGACATGTGATCAGAATTGCAAAATGTTAGCTATTGATGGTTCTTGTATGAATTAAATGATCTAAACCTCTCAGGAGGCTCCTCTGTTTTCATTTTGCTTTCCCCTCTTGGTATACGATTTCACAATTCAGTGCTTGCTGGGAAGGGGATTGACTTCTGCTCGTAGGAAATGCACCTCTCTGAGTTTTGAGTTTTTCACCTTCACATTCCAGGAAAAGTTAGTTTTGAAATAAATTTGGATCATCATAATTCCACTTGTATGTATCTATCTAAAATATTGCTATTTTGGGGGTGCCTGGGTGGCTCTATTTGTTGAATGCCTGACTCTTAATTTCGGCTCAGGTCATGATCCCAGGGTCATGGGCTCGAGCCCTGAGTCAGGCTCCAAGCTGAATATGGAGCCTGCTTAAGATTCTCTCTCTCTCTTTCTCTCTGTCTGTGTCTCTCTCTCTCTCCTACTGCCTCTTTCTCTCATTCTCTCTATAAATAAATAAATAAATAAATAAAATTAATAAAATATTTCCATTTTTATCAGCATTTCATAATGCATTTCTCTTCTTTATGTTCAATCCATTTTTGATGTTTTTTAACCCATCAATCAACCAACCAACCCGTCTTTATTATTGGTCTCTCTCATAGATACCACAACATTGGGGTGAATACACAAACATAAGAGAGATACTTACAGTCTAACTGGGATGATAATACTAATATATGTACAAAATCAAGAAATAAGCAATATTTTTCTATGGGTTAATTGTGTGGTTTACTATAGCATTTTTGAATAGGAGAGAAGAGAGGTATAAATAAAAACTGAAATAATTATGAATGCTTACATGAAGGAAATGATGTTAGCCAGATATTCAAAGATTTGAAAAGGTACAGCAAGGAGTGAAAAGTGCAATATAGACAAGGCACTTAATAAGGTAAAAGCAAGGGTGAGGAAGAGTCTTCAATAACTAGAAGATAAAAATTATCTTTGCTTCATAGATGTGCACGAATGACACTAAGACTGCCTAATATCATAATCTAAAATTATAAGAGAACGTGTTTATCAAAAGGGAACATTACAACCCCAAACACCTTCTCTAGCTAGGTGGTGGAACCCACGGACTCTTGAACTTCAGGATGGTTTATGCTAAGAGCCGGACCCTGAAGAAGCACTTCGAAGGCAGCCCCCCTCATGGTAATTTGGAGTTGAAGACAGTTGAACTCCCACCCTTCAACAACGGAGAGGTCCTGCTGCAAGCTTTGCTCCTCGCTGGGGATCCTTACCTGGGAGTGGCAGCCAAACGACTGAAGGAGGGTGATGCGATGATGCGGCAGCAAGTGGTCAGAGCTGTGGAAAGTAAAAACTCAGCCTTCCCAACAGGAACTATGGTAGTGGCTTCTTCAGGCTGGACAACTCACTCCATTTCTGATGGGAAAGATCTGGAAAAACTGCCTGCAGAGTGGCCAGACATTTTAACCACAAAACAGTAGAGTCTTTGGAAGAAACTTTGAAAAAAGCCTCTCCTGATGGTTATGATTGTTATTTTGATGAGGTAAGGAGAGAGTTTTCAAACACTGTTATCCTCAGATGAAGAAATTTGGAAGAATTGCTATATGTGGGGCCATCTCTGTATATAAGAGGCCCACCCCCAGAGAATATTCTCCATCAGCAACTCCACACGGTAGGGTTCATTGTCACCCACTGGCAAGGAGAAGTCTACCAGAAGGCTTTGAAAGACTTGCTGAAATGGGTCTTATAGGGTAAAATCCAGTACCATGAATACATCACTGAAGGGGTTGAAAACGTGCCAGCTGCATTTATGGGAATGCTGAAAGGCGGTAATTTGGGGAAAAGCATAGTGAAAGAGTGAAAAAAAAAGTTACATGGAATCTAGAACTCATTTGGATGGTTACCACATGTCTTTTTAACCATTTAGTAAAAATATATATTACCTTCATTATCTAAGAAATTGCAATGAGTTTGGTCTACTTAATAAAACACATTTAAGTGGGGAAATAAAAAAAGGGAACATTAACCTCTAAAAAACAATTGTTAAAATAGAAGTCATTGCTTAAATAAAGCAACATATGATTTTTAGCCTTGAGTATTTGTAAGTTTTGCTTACATACTACTGGGTTCAAAATGGTTGAATAGAAGCATCCTTCAAACGACTAGAGCAGGGGCTGGGAACAGAGTGTGAGGTGGTGGGGAGGTATTTTATATGAGAATGTTTCATGCTGTTTGCATTTTTCCCTGTTGTGGGGTATCCAGACTTTTTTTTTTTTTAATTTTCAGTTGGGACTTTAATTAGAATTCCTGCTAAAAGGATATTGAAACTGCCTTCCCTGCATCAGAAGGCATTAGGGTGAAGAATGCAGAAAATAGGGATGGGGACACCAGGGCTCAGATAGGCTCTAGAAAGCAGAGGTGATGAGTAGAAGGAATTTGGCAAAGCCTCTTTGAGGAATTTGTTCATTTAAGTCCTGAACACTGAGAAAGGAAACAAAGACTAAAGAGTAAATGTTCTGACACTGTGATGACATGCCTTTGCAGGTGACATGTAGGGGACAGAAACAGCCTGGACACAAAGGTCATCAGTGGAACTAAAATAACACAAGATGACAAATCCACATCAGACCTAAAGCAGGTTTATTTGACTCTCCATTTTGGGTTGAGAGATTTTACCAGGTCTCTAGTGGGGAGAAATTATAATTACAATTAGAACCTCGCTTTGGGGCGCCTGGATGGCTCAGTCGGTTAAGTGTCAGACTTCAGCTCAGGTCATGATCTCAAGGTCTGTGAGTTCGAGCCCCGTGTGGGGCTCTGTGCTGACAGCTCAGAGCCTGGAGCCTGCTTCTGATTCTGTGTCTCCCTCTCTCTCTCTGTCCCTCCCCTGCTCACACTCAGTCTCTCTCTATTTCTCTCTCAAAAAAACCCAAAAACATTTAAAAGAAAAGAACCTCACTTTACATTACTTACAGTTTTGTGTCTATAATTAACCTTTAATTAACTGTATGATAACGTATGTACAATTCTCATTTAAAAATGTTACCATTCTTAGCATTCTTTTTCTGTCTTCATGAAATTGTCCTGAATTGAAAACAAAAATCATTTGAACTCTGCATAGTATTTATTTTCAAATTTTTGACTTTATTTCATGAATAATGCAAAAGGGATTTTTCTTTTTATTTTTTTGAGAATGGCAATGATACTCAACGAATATTTTTTGATTGTTATAATTAAGATTCTCTTGCCCACAGTGGGGTAAACTGGGTAAATGGTACCACAGAGAGAAATTTGCTTGGGAAAGGCTTTTTTTTCTCACTGGATATGCTACAGATTACAGAAGGAATTTAGATTTTCTGAGTGGTGGTTTTCTATATAGTAGAGTTTGTATGCTTAACAGATTAACTGCTTTTAATGTTATTCTTTCTCCCAGGATTCAGGAAGGAAAATGACATAATAGATTTTTTTTCCCGAGGACCACAGTAAACCTCCTTAGTCAAACCCAGTTGCTCCTTGGGAGGTGAAGAGCGAACTAACCTATGTTTCTACAAGTTACAAAATCATTTACATTTATTACCCATGCACAGTGAGGCCCCAAAGCCTCAGAGCTATGATTCTCCAAATCACTGCATTCTAAGCTTGACTGATTGGTTTAAAAGCTTGTGAGAGATTTATAATGATTCACTGTGTAAGCCAATGATTTTATATTTAAGGCAGGAGACTGCTTATAAATGATAGAAAACTTTAGATTCTCCTTGGACTCAGCAGGTGACCAACTGTTTTCATAAGTTTAGATAAAAACAGAATTTTCTTTGCACTGTTTGAACTCAAAATTTATAAAGTGCACATAATTGAAAGGTATGTGAGCATTATAATATTGGCTCCCCATTTATAGTGCTACCTTTGGATTATTTGGCTATGTTAATATCTGTGTAGATTGACCACAGGAACCTAAAAAGTTCTATTGGTTTTTGAGAATAAACTGTAATTGCTACCCTGATATTAATATCTGTTGTTATTTAAACAACAGATGTTGTTGTGCTTTACCTTGGAACAGTTACTAGGCTTAGTTCACTGTCATGTTTGACAACATTATAGCAGTACCTTTTACTGTTTAAAAGTTGATGGGGGGTGGTGAGGGAGAGGGGAAAATGGGTGATGGGCATCGGGGAGGGCACATGCTGGGATAAGCACTGGGTGTTGTATGTAAGCGATGAATCACAGGAATCTACCCCCAAAACCAAGAGCACACTGTATGCACTGTATGTTAGCCAACTTGACAATAGATTATATTAAAGAAAAGTTCATACAAGTAAATTGCCATTATTTAAATATGGCATTGAGATAGATGAAAGAAATAAGGTTAATGGTGTATCCATGTAAAAACATATTAAACTTTGTATGATGTTTTGCCTTGTTTAGTCCCCGAAAGGAATTTGAGATTTGTGAGGAAGACCAAATATTTTAATTAGGATGTTATTAAGAATAATAAAGTTATTATGGGTACTTAAAGGAGAGAAGCCCAGAAATAGCTATTATATCAACCAGTTTGTATATTTCCCACCAGCAGTACTGAAGGCACCAACTGGACAGAGCACGGCAGTGCACAGAGTTGCGGTTTCTAAAGTCCTTATTAGAAGAAAATTAAGTCACACTTGTCATCTAGTTTGCCTCATTAACCACTATTCGAATCGCCCTGTTCTCTCTCCATTTCACAACCAAGTCCCTCCAGCTGGTCTCCCAGTCTCTTGCCTCTTCCATTCCTCCCACCATCCACCTGCCTAACTCACAAGTGGCTCTCCATGGCTGCCTTGTCTCTAGGCTCCCCAGGACAGCACTGGTTTCCCCACACAGCCTGTGGATGCACAGTTTTATTTTATTTTATTATTTTTTAAAAATTTATTTATTTTAAGAACAAGCGAGCACAAGTGAGGGAAGGGCAGACAGAAGGATAGAGAGAGAGAGAGAGAGAGAATCCCAAGTAGGTTCCGCACGCACTCAGCTAGGAGCCTGATGCATGGCTTGAACTCACGATGTGAGATCATGACCTGAGCCAAAACTAAGTCAGCTACTCCGTGGCCTGAGCCAGCCAAGACCCCCTGTCTTTTTTTTTTTTAATTTATTTATTTTGGGGAGAAAGAGAGTACAAGTGGGGGAGGGGCAGAGAGAAGGGAACAGAGGATCGAAGCAGGTTCCACACCAATAGCAGTGAGCCCAACGTGGGCCTGAACTCTTGAACCACCAGATCATGACCTGAGCCGAGGTCAGAGGCTCAACTGACTGAGCCACCCAGGCACCTCCAGGACCTCCTGTCTTATTTTAAATTAATGCCCAGTATTACCCCAGTATAGCTTAGGTAGTATTTAAGAGCACAACCCTTACACTCGGACCAGCTTCTAACCCCCGTTCTTTCACCTGCTGGCTGTATTACTTTGGCCAGGTCTCTTAACCTCTCTGACCCTCAGGTTCCTTGTTTGTAAAGGTGAAAATAATATCTACCTGCAAAGATTTGTGATGAAGACTAAAAAGGTTAATTTATGGAAAGTGCTTAGCACCATACTTTGCAGGTAGTAAGTGCTAAGTAAATCATTACTATTATTAAGCTTATTTCGATAAATTTAGATTATTAGATTAAAATTAGATGATTATGATTATTAGATTAGATTATGATTATTAGACTAAAATTAGACTGCACTAAATTTCTTACCCTAATTGAGTAACCTCTTCCCATCCAAAGTAATTTTCCTGACACCCCTTTATCATGGGGTCTACTCTTTCTCCCAAATGTCTATAGTCCCTTTTTCTTGAAGTTCTTATTCTGCACTTATTCCAGCTTATTTATCTCCATATTGTGTGCATGAACACTATGAAAGACTTGCTGAAGTTCAAATATACCATGCCAGTGGATTTTCTGACCTACTAATAGGTCTTATTCAAGAAAGAAATGAGGCAAGTCATTCTTGGTTACTTCACATTGTCTTCTAGGGACACCCAAACATCTGTTTAGTCCCCCCTGAAGTCTTGCCTTGTTGATAGCTGCCTGCTTTCTATGTAACCTCCAGTGACTCTACTGACTGGTTTTGGGCTCGATGTATAGTAGGTGCTCAATAAATGCTAATTGACTTGGTGAATAAATAAAATTGGCCCCAGGTTCAGGATTCTCTAACAGATAGTGAAGCTTTAAATGCAGAGGCCACAAATTATTAAGTTTGTATCTCCATGTCCTGGCACAGTCCATGCTCCACAAGGGTTGAAATGGAGTGACTCAGCTGGTAGGAAATGTCTCATTTCCTATTCGCAAAGAATATTCTTCATAGTGCGCTTGGTTTGAGGAGAATCTTGTGCTTTTGCCACCGTGCTCAGTGGGTATACCATCTTCTTGAGGGAGGGTCATGTGTAAACTCCATTTCTTCCACAGACCCTTCACCCAGGATCTCTGTCATCTGGTTTCTTCTCTCCCACCTCTGTTGATCTGTTTTCTCCCCCACTTTTTAAAATGTAAAATGCATAGTGCTCGCTTCGGCAGCACATATACTAAAATGTAAAATGCATATAACATAAAATTTACTATTTTAAACTTTTGAAAGTATATAATTCAAGGCACTTAATGGCATTAAGTACATTCACTCTGTTGTGCAACCACCAACACCATTTCCCTCTAGAACTTTTAATCATCCCAAACAGAACTCTATACCCATTAAATATTCCCTATTCTCCTCCTATCTCCAGTCCTGCAGCCTCTAGTCTATTTCTGTCTCTATGAATTTTCCCATTCTAGATAACTCGTGTAAGAGAAATAATACAACATTTGTCCAAAAAGACAAATGTATCTGGCCTCTTTCAGTTAACATAATGTCCTCATTGTTCATCCATGTTGTGTAGCATGTGTCAGAATTTCATTCCTTTCTAAGGCTAAATAATTTCCATTGTATGTGTAGGCTACATTTTGTTTATCAGTTCATCTTTTGATGGACATTTGTATTGTTGCCACTTGGTGCTATTATGAATAATGTTGCTATGAAATTGGTGCACAAATACTTGTTCAAATCCCTGCTTTCAATTCTTTTGGGTATATACTTGGTAGTGGAATT